TTCAAAGTTGAAGATGGGTTTACATAGACACTTCCCTCAGATATTGTGCCTGCTGGGTTTTGTAAATGGAATGAGGCTTCTTCTTCCAACTAAGGCTTTACTTGCTGCGCCAACATACTTCCTTTTGGCATCCAAATCAGGCTGCACTACTTCTCCATGCTGAAAAAGAAAATCATATCTGCCGATGAAAATGATATAATAGGACGTTTATTTCCCTTAAATCTTTTGAAATGTCAAATAAGTCCAAAGGACCCAATTATTATATGTTGTAAGATAAGGTAATTAAGATTGGCTTCAAGTTGAAAGCGTTCGTGAGTCAACTCACTCATAAATTACTCAGTTGTGAATTGATTAATATCAAACTCCACTTCTTCATAATCAATTCAAGCCATACTCAAGAAATAAGTTTAGTTGAGTTTTAGTAGTATGATCAATGCTCAACTCAAGCTGCTTGTGTGCTTGCTTAATCAAGTTTTAAGTAGGGGATAGTGGGGTCCCAAGGGCGATGTTAGAGAGAGAGATGAAAAAACTTGTTTAATAGTTAAAGCTTTTAAGGACACAAGGAGAACGGATGAAGAATGATATGGATAAATCAACAAAGGAATGAGTCACCAAGTTCACAAAAGATAAAGAAAGTGGATGATGCAAAACTGTTTATGGTGATTTGGGCTTCTTAACCTACATCCACTACCTTGACAACATTTATAGATGACTTTAAAAATCAACTTTCACTAAGTTTTACAAGGTGACATACCTCAAGCACAAATGACTTCACTTACAAATCCTACAAGTGATACCCTTCTCAAGGATAAAGTGAAACTTACAGTACTCTTAGAATTTAGACGTTGGAGCTATCAAAATTGGTGCAGGTTTCCATTACACAGGATTTGCAGTCCTTGATTATCCAACTTGTTATGTCTATGATCATCAGCTCGGGCATGGTCAACTTGATTATGGTTTCGAATATTCTAAAGGATTATTCTTGACATTCTTCCTTGACACATTCAAATTTTGGAATGATGCTGGACAATTTAGTTGCTTGTACTTTCAACTCTAGTTGATTCAAGTACTCCTTTAGTTAACTTGACATAATGTGCTTCATTATGGTCACATAACCTTACTATTTTAATAGACTGTCCTGAGCTTTTACATTTTCAATTTACACTGGGTTCATCGATTAACTTGATATCCAAGCGGGTTTCTTTTCTTTCCATGATTACTCTAGTTCCTGTGATGAAATCGACTAACTTCATTGATTAATTGATTAACCATTCTAACTTAGCCTTTGTTCTTTGATACATCTCAACAAAGGTTGAGTTATTTATATGGACTTAGCTATTCTTATATGTTGAGATTCGTGGTTCATAATAAATTAAATCTCCCAATTTTTTAATTTGTCTTTATATTTTTTCAGAAACGATAAAATCTAAAACTTATTGACTATAATGGATAAATATTCTATGAAGAGAAAACCAAAAATGCATAGAACTTAGAACTTAGCAATATATATATTCCTTTAAAACTCTTCCATTATAAAAAAATTCTAAAATATTTTTAAACAATGGAAAATGTTGAAAAAAAAGTGTAGAAATGGCTATTTTTACATGGAAAAAGGACTCCTCTCTTTTTTATCATTTTCTTCATTTTGTATAAATTCCTTTCTTATATATGGTATTATGAAGAATATTCCATAATGAGTCTTAATGTAATTGTGTTTTTGTTGTAAACTTTTTATGTAAAGTTATTAAAAATATATAATAAATTAATTTGCCTCCAAATGAGTATAAAATTTGAATCCATCCTTGATGGTAAGGTTCATTGTATTCCAATTGTCCCTTACAATAAAAAGTTGTGTTCAAAATCCTCTCTCTTCTATATAATAAAATTATAAACAATTTCTTTTAATTTTCGGCATTACTATAAAAAATGTGACATTTAGTAATAAAAATTTTTATGTAATGCTACAAGAATGGGGAATGAGCGGGGACAAATAAATCTCTAAGATGTTTAATGTGCTCGTCATTTCCTATGGTTGTTGAGTGATTCTAAAAACTTGTCCAAGTTGTCATTTAGATATAGAGATTGACTGCTGAGTGAAAAAAGAAAGAAAGAACATAGAGATTCATTGCAAACAACATTCAATCCATCAAGAATTATTGTACTATATAACTAGCAAGAATGATGTTCATGCTATACACCTTGAAATTTTGTTCAAACTCAAAAAGCTAAACCTATGGTAGTAACTTCCCAGATTAATACCAATTGTTGGGATTACGTGTGATAGGTGAGAAATTTGAGAAATATAAGTGTGGGAGGGGGGGGGGGGGGGGGGGGAAAAGGGTGTTTGATAGATTGTGGCATGAGATTAGAAAGATGTGGGAAAGAATGTTGGAGAGTGAAAAAAGAGCAAGGCAATGACTTTGAGGCAAGCAAAGGGCTTTGGAAGTCACATTCCAATTTAAGACAAAAAGTTGTAAAGTGTACACACAGCCACTGTTACAGTCAAAGTATCTTCAACCTTTTGCATCTTTTATGGATCCTTTTATTCATTTTATTTAAAGTCATTGGATTGAGGGATCGAATCAAGGAAAGCTCTTTTTCGTATCTCACATATATTTTGTGTCTTTCAACTTTAACATGACAGAAAAAGGGGTTTTGTTTATTGATTTGAGTGTTTATTTTGTTATATACAAGGAGAGAAAAACACCAAAAATGAAAAATAAGAGAAAGGAAAGGGTAGAATGGCCATGGACATGGGAATAAGCCTGGCCCCGGAATAAAAAAAGTATGTGGGAAAACGCCAAAAGGAAAGCACCCCAATGTATATCAACTTTGAAAGCAACAAGCTCAGTAGAAGCATGCCCTATCCACTGACACAAAACAAAACAACTTTTCTCTTTGCTGGCTCACCTTTTTCAAGCTCCCAACACGGATTCTCTTTGCCAGTGCAAAAACCCATCAACTCTCAAAGAGATAGTACTAGATTCTACAATCACTTTTCATCATCCAGGGTTTATTTTATTTTTTTTCTTTACACTCTGCTTTTCTTATCTTTTCTATTTTGCATGGGAATATGGCTTTAACTTGCTCATTTTTATTTACGAATAGTAGCAGTACGTAGTAAGCAATTCAGCATTGAGACCCACCACTCTCAGTGTCATCATTGCAGCTGATGTGGTGGAATAGCTAGGGCTGCCTTTAACTTTGTTTCTGCCTTTCCTTTTCTCTTTGTGTTTTTTCTTGGTAGGGTTGAAGGAATGTCCCTTTGCTTCACCTTGTAAAATCTTCTCCTTTATTCTTTCTTTCTGCCTCCCGGCCGGGTTTTACTGTTTACCCTGGCCCCCTTTCAATTGGAATGAAAGCAACAAGTTCTGGTCCTCATTGCCACTGCAATTAAATAGATAAATATTGATTATCTAAAAGACTTACTATCACTTTTATGTGGGCCTCTATACCTACCAAGGTCTCTTCATAACCTTTATTCTCCACAAGAGCCTACTTAATATTTACCCCTCTTCTATTTATATACATTGCCCAATGTTATACTAACATAATGGCGATTGAGTTTTACACCCTTTCATATATATTTTGTTAATCCAATTAATTTTCATGTTTTATTCATGTAACCCATCCATATCATGTATATTAATTTAATTAAAAGTTTACAGTGCTTTTTTAAAATCAAAATATTATTTAATACTATCTAATAGCAATATTGTATATTACTAATTAACCATTTTATAATTAAATAAAATATTCAATAATATGGTTAGAAAATATTATGTAAAACATTAAGTAATGTTACTTCAAATTATTTATGCTGAATTTCATTACATGATAAATTTATTATTTAAATTATATTCAATGGTATTATTTTGTATAACTTTTAATAATATTAAATTATTTCATAAAACATAAAATATTCTAATAATACCATTATACAATATTATTAATAATGAGATATTAAATATTCACTTAATTAATAATAAAAAATTTTGCAGCTGTAAAATTATATTGACAATGATATAAAATAATACCATTAATATTTAGTTAATAAATAATATTAAATTATTTAATAATAATAGATGATACAATTTTAGTTATATTAATGATATATATAATGAAAAAATATTTCATTATCGTTAATTAATATAATATTAAAATTAAACGGTATTTTTTGAATTATATCTAATATATTAAAGAATATTATATAATTTTAAAATTAAATAATATTGTAATGTTAAAATTTAATATTTTCATGTAATCCATATTCAATATGCCTATATATTTTTTCCAAAAATTTTGTATTAAAGTAAAATTATTTGTTAATTTTGAGGTATTTAATTTATAAAATAATTAATTTTATTTATAATTTTTATATATCATGAAAACATAACATCATATTATTTTGTACATAGACATTATTCACTTGCTATTAACGTCAGAAACCAAAACATTGTTTCCGTACGCACTAAAAAAAAAAACTCTTGCTTCCCACAATTATGTAAATTTTGCTTTTAATCTTTTTTTTTTTTTTGAATGGAAACATGTTGTGTAAACATATTTTTGGTTAATGTTTTAAAAAATGCTAAATACAGAAACAGAAAACGAAAACAATGTCGAAATGATTATTACACAATTGTTCTGATTAAAATTTGAGATTTTAATTTAGAGATTTTACAAGTCCAATAAATCTCCAAATATGCGTAAAGAAAAGAAATCTACTTATCAGATCTTTAGCTATATAATTTGAGTAAGTTTATATATCTCATTTCATTAACCCTAACCATTCTAAAATTCATCAACTGAAGTGAATCCTGATAACAAACCATTCCCAATATATATTTGGTTTTAAAATCCAAAATCCAAATCTTTCCCCTGAAATACAAGTTTCATAACACCTTTTGTCTTCAAAATTTGAGTAAAAAAATCGCTTATTTAATAGAAAAATTGGATTTAGTAAACTAAAACATCAAATGCATTTAAAGTAAACAAAAACATTTAAAGGAGACATGATTTTATGCTTTTATTAGGAGAATTTTGTCAACAACTGATGGACATATGAGAATAGGCCTTTTTTTTCCATGTTACTAGAATACAACACCATATCATTCAAAAACACCTATCCCAATCTTAAATCCAAGCCCAATGTAACAGTTGTTGCTGAAATTTATTCTCTAAGATCCTTTTCAGCTTCTAATGCCAGATAAAGATACGTGGCAGCTGCCAACAAATAAATCATCCTCCTTACAACAAGTCATGTAGAATATACAGTATAATATCATCTTTTGATCTCAATAGTTCCCATTTCTGCAAAGCCAGAATATGAAGCCTTATCTACCTAACCTACATTCTCCAATACTGAATACCAATCATATAATTGCACTCCTATCTCAATGGGATATATGTGATTACCTAAACCCCCAAGTATTTTGACTTCCGACTACACTACAATACATTGTTTCTTTTTTACTTGAGTCATATCAATTCTCATCTTGATATGTTCCTGCACATTTCTCAAATCTATTATGCAGGAAATACTAATCAGCACATGCACTAATCTACTACAATTCTATGTCAAATACTGGCCCCATCAAAACTGATAGACAGACATAACATCAATTTGCAGATGGAGCACACCTTTGGTCGCTACTCCTACAATTAGTTGAGGTGGTTCAAGCTTAAAGCGGGGCAGATGGGGGGAATAACTGAACTCTTAAGTATTTGCCAAGGGGCTAATCAGACCCCGTGAACCCTCTTTTCAGCATTGACTTAAACAGCTACTTCTTTTCATCAGAACTTCGTGCCACAATTTTCAGAGGATGAGATTCTGTATTAAAAACCCATTCATCAAGGGGGATGACAGATGGAGGTGAGAACAGGAGATACAGATACTTGAGCGTCTCCGCAAGGAAAAAACTTTGCATCATATTGTCCTTGACACCTGTATTCACCTGAAAAAGAATGGCAAGAGTATGTTTAACTGCAAAATATTGATATATTGAGACATCAAAAGGAAAGGCCAACTGGAGAAGAAACCATTGTTAGCAATTTTGGACTCCTATCAGGATATGTACGAAAAAAGAAACTCAGATCAAAGAATAAGAAATCCATAACCAAAGATATCATTCACAAAAGATTTTGCTAAATGCTTACATCTTTAAGCCCGACATACCCAGTCTCTATACGGGAGTTTCTTTCAAATGCTTGGAAGATATTCCAACCCCATTCTTGGTATGTTTTATTTCCAGTAAGACGCCAGAGGTAGAAGAGCGACTCAATGGTCTCAGGCCTCAAAATATTCCATGATGTACCAACAGTCATGTCCTACAATTTCTTAGATATCAAGAAATATCAATTATCAAGCAGAGATATGAAGACAACAATTATCAATACAATAGCTGGAGGAATGCATCAAACCTGTCCAGTGCGAAAGAAATAGTTCTCCCCAGCCAATTTTGTGGGTGTTGACTGATAGAAATTATAGCAAGTCCAGGCAAGCTACATCAAAATTGTCAGAGGATTCAGTCCAGAGGGGACTAAAAGAGAATTAGTAGCCCAAGCAGCCATAATTTTCTCCTAAACAAAAGACTATATATCTATTTATCAAACTGGACTCTACTTTAACTTATATGCCATTTACATATGAAAAAAGCATCTTATGTAACACTTCTGGAAGCACCAATGGTGGCATCGTCTTCAAGATATGTTTTTATCAAGATGGTCCAGTAATGTGAAAAAAAGAAGATGAAATTTAAACAGACATGATATGACAATTGCATAAGAAATTACAACCATCTCCAATCCTATAGCAATTCAATTTCTTCTTTGCAGAAGAAGCAAAGTCAAATGAAAAAACAGAAAAAATTGATGAATTGTTTGCTAATCTAAGACCACTAATTCTGTCATAATGTTCCCTCTAGACAACAAAAGCAAATTAAATGCATCTTTAAGCAATGATAGAAGTGATTGTGATACAACAGGAAGCATTCTCTCTTAACACATCACAATATAAGGGTCCAAAAGATCATGCATTCTGGAGTACTTAATAGGCAAGAAAGAATTAGAAGATGCACTAAACATAAATGTAAATTCCTTTTGGCTATTCCTCTTCTGCAAAAAGTAACAAAATGGTTCTCAAATGAAGATCATTTTACAGAGGACTAATAGACCAAAAAATCAGGCGGTAGGGGAGAGCATTTGAACAAATGCCCTTGAAAACGTCTATCACTTCCACATCCCAGCATTATTCTTTTAAGGGATAAAATATTTAAAATTTTTTGCTTTAGTCAAAGTATAAATAATTTTGAACATATATTGCATTTTCTAAATTTTGAGCAGACAAGTATCAAGATGTGCAAAAACTAATTTAGCTAAGATGAGGATGCTACAACGGATATGTATTAGTGAAAAAGCAAAAAAAAAAAAAAAGAATGTGAAGATAACAATATAAGAAATGAGTGCATCAAGGAGAATGGGGGTAAGATCCCAATTGAGGAAAGGAAGGAGAGATGATTTAAAAGTTATCGCATAAGTTTTAAACTCCCAAATATGAGAATTGCTTGTAAAGCCGGTTCATAATGAACTAGGAATTATAGAGCAGTTAACAATGTATGGGGCGATCAGTACAAGTAAAAGCATTTTATTTATCAGCATGTCCTTGTTTATTGTAGATTAATTTTTTAGGCTAAATACCTTGATCAGAACTTTGATTAAATGTTCAAAGAAACATGACTTTCAATTTGGTTCAATTAAGCAGTTATATTGCTAAAACTGATTCAGTCAAGGAAACTTTTTAGTAAAATATGTTAGATCCATGTGGCTAAAGAAGTAAAAGATGGCACATGACTTGGCAGTCTAACATAGCTAAAGCATCATTTCTTAAATTTTTCTTACTTCTTTCCTTTCTTTTTTTCTCTTTCCAGAATATTCTCTCTCTACCTCTCTTCTTTTCTCCTTCAGTCACCTTCCCACTCTTCCCTTACCACCAACATAAGCAGCCTCTTTTGCCCACTGACAGGCCTGTCAACAGCCATCCACTTTCCTTTCCTATCTTTCTCTGTCTAAAATGTTTCTGCTGTTCCTGGCTTCCATGAAATTTTAGTGCTCTTGTTGGGTGTTCATGTGTACATCACAGCATGAAGTCGGGTTGGGCCATGCTCTACCATTCGAGCTGGTGGTGATGAACAAAGTGGTCGCAGCTATGGGGATTTTAGGGTCAGAGAACGAATGGAAATGAAAAGGGGGAATTTTAGGTTGACTAGTAACTGTTGGCAAGCTTGTTGCTGGCCAAAAGAGGCTAGGGAGCAAAGGGAGGGTGACAGTAGTAAGACAAGGGTGAGAGGCAAGAGAGAAAAAATTTTCTGAAAAAGGAGAAAGAAAGGAAAAGTTCAAAACTAAAAGTAATGGAACATGGCTTAGTTTGAATGCCACATTGTGCTATCTGTCACTTCTTTAACCATGTGGCTAGACTTAATGAATCTAACACATTTCATAAACAATTTTCCTTTGAATTAATTTCAATAATATAAATCCTTAACTGAATCAAAATGAAAATCATATCCAACATGGAACATTTGATCAAAATTAAAGTCCTCGAGGCATTTAACACCTTTTAAAAATCATGGTCTTACCATATCCTTATTGTATCACCTATCTTGTATCAGAAGGCCTCGTGGAGGCCCAAAAACTATTGTATCTCATATCTAAAGGCCTTGAAGAGACCCAAAAAACTATCATTCTCTAATACTGTTGCTAATAGAAACTTGATGGATTTTACCAATAAAACTACGCAGAAGTGTAGCACTACCATACATCAAAACTTTTTTAATGAATTTCAGTCCATACCATTTGTAGACAAGACCTTTCATTAAAATCTAAGGGAAAAAGATTAACTTAGTTTTGTTTATTATGTAAAGTTATTAATTTCTTTATTACGACCTTCCATAAGTTGCATCCTATGCTTTTGTTCATTAAAATTGCCAAATTTTACAACTACTACCAAATATGCCAGCATTGGTACCATTAGATGCAAAGTTTTTTGGCAAAAGTTGAAATAAATATTCAGCTAGAGATTACATTTAGGTTATTATGCCCTTCCATAAGCTAAATCCTTGATTTTTACCTATATAAACAGCTAAATGGTACAACTACTACCAAATAAAGCTATTACTACTATCCTAGACCTGTCAAACTCAAACATAGACCTCTATCTCAGTTACATGGACTCAGCACTTTAGGCCACCGTACTCCTGTTGACACAACATGGCACAGATACAAACATGATATATATGTCCCACGCCGCGGCAGAAATACAGACTCAGCTTTTTCTCCACAGGCAAATCAAACACAAATAAAAATAAATGACAAGAAAGAGATAGATGATTGCTTTGATGGGTGGTTTGGAGATGGAAAAAACTTTTGCTATTATCATATTGATGGTCTACGCTCAGATTCTCATTGTTTGCTATTTAAGTAAATTATAGATAGTGGTTTAGAGCTTGGCAATGGCGGCTGAGTCATCATGCAAAGAGAAAATTTAGAGATAGAGTCAAAGACAATGGAGAGGAAGACGAGAGCAAGAGAATAGTGAAAGACAAAGTGAATGAGAAAGAGAAAGCTCAAACAAAAGATAAAGATGAGAAGATACTAGAATGGGTGGGCAGGAGATTCTTTATGTATGGGTTTGTTCAATTTCTTTCTTTTTTTTTTTTTGGTTGAAATATTTTGAATTATTAATTCATTATATATCTTGATCTTTTTACAAAATAAAGGGTCACTAACAAGATAAGTGATAGGTGCTTTAGACCAAATTTAGTTTTCTTAAATTGCATGATACAATATTTCACTTTGCTCTGCATGATATCAATTATTATATTTCTTAACCTCACATATGAAATTGCCATGATACAACATTTCAAAAGAAAAAAATCTAAATGCCATATCAGCTTTGGAATTTCAATTTTCATATACTATTTTTATAATGTTACTACAAAATGTATCCATTTTGAACTCTTTCTACCCAACTCCACAGGTACAAAATTTTGGTTGGAAGGTGAGTCGCAACTTAAAACACATATGTATACCCAAGTCCATGTAACATAGGCCTCCATTAGCATTAATTTACTCCATTAGAAATTTTCGAGGATAAATAACCAAGTACAAACATCTCTTTTCCTTTCATAACAAGAACTTTTCTACACTCTTAATGCTTCTAATTTGCAAGCCTAGTAGACCCTTGGGGACTGGGACAACTAAATCCATTTGGAGAAATAAAATAGTGACAAAAAGAGAGAAATCTAAAGCAAATTGAACGCAATGCACTACAACACAAATAAATGACAAAGCAGCAATGGAAAGGCTGACAGGTTAGGAGAATTCTTTAAAGTACAAAATGCATTTTTTTCAACATAAGAATATTTTTTATACATTTTATATTCTCATATTATTTGGAATGACTAAGGATTTTGAAGGAAAAAAAAATTTCTCAGATAACTCTGTTTGCACTTTGTCTCTACATACTTTATACTTTTGGTTTTTTATTGCTTCTCCCTTAAACATATAATCTGCACAATCAAATGACTTTCAGAGTTTTACATGCAGTATCCATAGGAATTTGCAATTTAAACAAGTAGCATTTAAGCCTGATTTTGCAGCAAGCTTCATGTGAGCCTTAAAAAGGTGTTTGTAATATATATGCCTTGTATACATGTATGTGCAATCATACCTCTTCTGCAAGTGCTAAGAATTTTTCAGCTTCGCCTGGACCATAACCAAAAGATCCTAAAGCCAACATTCCAGGGGCAAAGCATGCTAATTCATCCATCTGTATACATGAAGAAAAGATCCACTTAAAGAAACAAAGTCAATTAACAAGTAGAAAATATGCTTGAGTTATTAGATACTACCTTGTCAGACAGTGAATTTCCAGTCTTCTCACATATGTAAGTGAATGAGGATGGTGTTGATCTTCGAATCAAGCTTTGCAGACCTTTCATTGATGTCTCCCACATATCCCTGTTTCCAGTATCCATTATGCTGGTCTAGTTAGCATCAGAGTTCCACAGAGAGACATTCTCAAAATAAATTTAATAATCTAATAGGTTGATGATAAAGAAGAACTTGATACAGTTTCTACAACTTTTCTACTTCCACTTGAAATGTTTACTAGGAATACTAAAAAACATCATGTTGTTACATATGTCAAAGAAAATGAGCAAAAGAGACCAAAGCATTTTCAAGAGTGGCAATAGAAAATGGTCAGAGAGATATATAATATGTACCCATGTCACAATCATTACATCGATATATTTATGCCATTATATAGAAGAACAAATGATTCAATCAGTTTTTTCAAAGATTAAATCCTGTTCTAGGTAGTAGCTATAGATATACTAGGACAATAAACTGCTTTGTACCCCTTGAGATTTCAAGAGATTAGTGATTTGAAATCTTGCATTTCATATGAGTAACATGATTACCTTCAATAAAGATTTGCATCTACCGTTTATGCCATGCACTAGCTAGATGCATAAAATGGTCACAGACATATACCAAATACACTGGTAGCCCTATTTCCATGCACACTTTATCTTCTTTGACTCAAATCAGTTGCATTTACTGGCATGTTGGTCTCGCTAGCCTACTTACATAATGACTGACATTTGTATTGAAGCCAAAACATGTCTGGAAATAGGCTCACCCTAAAAATACTCATTTTGTTATCAAGACAGCAATATATACATGTCAGTAAAAAAAGAACAATTAATTCAATCAGTTTTCTGAAATTTAATCCTGTTCTAGGTAGTAGAATGGTAGCTACAGACATACTAGGCAATAAACTATTGTGTACACCTACAGAATGCAACAGAGTAGTGGTTTACACTCTTGCAGTTCATAAATTAGCAATAAGATTACTTGAACATAATGATTGGCTACCCCCCTGCATGCCATGTGCTAGGTAGATGCACAAATTCTTAGAAATCACACAGAATGTATAGTTATCAGCAAGGACCCATGCTGGTTGCCACATTATAATAAATGCTGCTTGAAGCTTCTTACCTGTAATGCTTTACAGCTTCTGTTTTGTTTCCCTGTATCCAAGCTTTCAGTAGGTATTCATAAAAACTGCACCAAGAGCAAAATCATGTGTTTATTCTAATTATCATTCAGAATGCTACAGAATGAAAAAAATAAAGTAGAATTATATCTTGTACAGAACTTAGGTGGCAGACTAGATGTTATTTCTTAAATTTTTGATAATCTGCCTCTCAGCCAACAGCATCTCCGTTAGATGCCTTACTCTGAAACCATGCCACTGAATACCCTAATGGTGCAAAAGGGTTCCTCATCCCCTCTAAAGAACCAACTCAGGAGATATAACTTAATTTTAATTTCTTCCAAAAGTCAACAAAGTTTAATCTGAAGCTATACCTTGTAACCAAAGTAACAACCCTAAGGACCCATCAAAAACTCAGATTTAATAAGCACAATGGTATATGCCCATCCATAGAATTCCAACAATTCAAACACTATTACGTCTCATTTTTTAATCGAACAGCACATTCTAGATACCTGTTTTTCGTCAATTTTAAATTAATAAATTTAACCTTGTTCCCAAGCCTTCTTGCAGATTGAGGAATACATGTACAAGGGTTCAATATCAGGAATGCTGGCAAGATCCTTGGTTAATTTCTTGTCTTTTGGAGATGCTGCAGAGAGTTGGCTTGGTGGCTCAGATACAAGGATTATTAAGGTTTCTCTAAAGTATGAGTGCCTCCGATGTGTTCTGTTAAACATATATAGCCCCACTTTCTACGTTTTTATCACAAACTCACAGCAACTTGTCACCCTAGAAACATCTTTAATCCAGAGTGCGCTGGCATCTCAAATTGATTTTGGTTAAAGAAATTTTCAAGATAAAGCTCTCTATCTCACACACCAATTCCAAACATCTCTTCGCAATTAAAATCCTAGCTCCAAGCTACTAATTTTTCTCCCTACTCTCAATTTTTTTTTTTTGAAAAGCTTCCTGCTCTCTATTTACCAGTTCCGGCTTCCTATTTCCTACTCCTAGCTTCCATCCTGCACCTAGCTTCCTACTTCCTATTATCTTCAACAAACATATTATTTGGCACTCTTCAGTCCCACTCTCAGTCACCTCTACCACATTCTTATGCACGCGTTTGTTATGATACGTCACCACACACAAAGGACCATCTAAATAAACAGAACAATACAAATTACTTATATTTAATCAAGGATAAACTACAAAATCTTAGCACAATATCCAGCCTCAATAAGTTCCATATGAAGTATCCCAACAGCCCATCCTTCTAGCAATTGAACTGAATGAGGATTCTGAATCTAGAGTATAAACACATCATCCAATTACACCTGGTACAACGTGCTTGAAACTAGTATTTTAACAGTAACAAATTAGAACAGCCAAGATATCATTGCCTCGAAAAAATTCATCACAGTCAATGTGGACATAACAGCCTAATGGAAGAAAAAGTTAGCACCTATCACCCATAGCACCAAATGTAATAGTTGAGTATGCTGTTGTTCCACTATGAGGATTGATGTAGATAGGGAGCAAACCATCAGAAGGGAAGATTTTATGGACTGCTTTGATGACATTCTCCACCTGAAATTTAGGTCTGCTATTAAGTTTCAAAAAGCAAACAAAAAAAGCTTATGTTTATACGTAAATTTTACCATCTTCATGGGGAAACTATGTAGAACATATGAAAATGCAACGGCATGATTAAACAGGAAATGAGAACTGAAAGCAAAGCAATGCCTAGTGATAACATCAAACTATTAAGCAAGATGCCAAAAGGAATACCTTCTGCTGGTATTTGGGATCTTTTATTCGTTGAGATAAAGCAATAAACTCTAGCTGCTCTGTTCCAGAATCTGCCAGGATACTGTTTCCCTAGAAATACAGAAGTTTCACAAAAAATGGAAGAAGCAATGCTCCAAGAATCACAGATGCGTACTTCAAAAAACAGGCATAGAATTGTGCATTAGTATAAAGATCTAAATATAGCAATACAGTAAGTAAAATTTTAAGTAGCACAAAAGTAGCAAACTAACAACCAGTGAAGTGCACAAATTAGTATCATGAAAATTTTAGAAATCAAACTTCCCTAAGAATGCATAATATAGGATTAAAAAACCTTATATGAGATTTCATAGTTACCAGAGATTTTGGCAGACTGCAGCTGAATGTGAAGAACTGACTACTTCAATGAAACTAATATCATGTTTGGATGAAAGAAATGGAAAGAAGTGAAGTGGATAGAAACTGTTAAATTTCTTCTTAGGATAGAAAAATTAGGAGAGAACTGAAAAGAAAGGAACAGAAACCATTTGATGGAGAATCACCTTAGGGTTTTGTTTTTCTTAATTAGGGATGTAATTTGTTATATTTACAGTTTTATGGCTTATGCCTATAAATATGTTTAAGGGTTATTTCTTTTAGAAGGTTTTGGATTAAGAATTATTGAGATTCTGGAATAGCGTTTGAGATTACCACTTATGGATTCTCTGTGGTTCTCTCTCCCTAATTCTACAATTTCTCTCCAATTCCCTACGTTTCTTTCCTTTTTACCCTCTAAATTTTCCACTGATCTCTAGTCTCTCCATATTTCCCCTTCTAAATCACTGTTACTTACAATTCCTCTCACACGTTTGCATCTCTTTAAAAGTAGAGAGATTTAGAGATGACCAAAACTCGCTGAGGAGATTCCTCATAATTTTAATTCTCTCCAATTCAAACAATTAGAAATTTTATTTCTCTGTTTTATAATTCCCTCATTTGTTTCCTATATTTCTTATCTTTTCACCTTATATCTGTGAAAGGAATAAAAAACAAATGGTAAAGTTCTGACCAAGCATAAAACACTAAACTAGCACTCCATAGGCAAAGGACATGATCCTGCTATAACAATTGTGTGAATAAAGAGTCAAATACTTTCCTTGGAAATCACATTAATTCTGTTTTTCCCATAAAAGGTACAAGAGTTTTACACTTTCCCAAA